GGATCCTGTTTCCTCATTCTATCTTCCTCATTGCTGCCTCCCTGAGCCTGGTTCAGCTGGAGGTCCCCTGTTGTTAAAACACATAAAACCCCCACTTTTTGGCATCCAGCAGTAGTGATGACTTTAGATTTAGTGATACAATATGTAAAACAAAATTATTAGTGTAAACATGTTTGTGTTATTTTCTGAAATTTCTATGATGTAAAGATTTTAATTTGTTCTTCTTATATTTAGGTAACCTGTTCCCTAAAGTGGCCGAGAAGCTTAATCAGGCAGCGCTGCCTGTTATCGACTTCGAAACCTGCAGTAAGCCTGCTTACTGGTGGGACACCCTCAGGCCCTCCATGATCTGTGCCGGCTACGAGTCCCCAGATGAGCTCAAGTCAGCCTGTCAGGTTTGACGACACATTTAGAAAAGAGTATTTGCTTGAATTAAGGATGCACTGACGTTTGGACAATATATCAATGCATCCATCATCTAAATGGATAGACTGAAAGTTGTTAGGAGACGATGTTGTTCATTGTTTAAATTCCTTCCGAGTTATTTAAAAACATTACGTAAGTGTGCCCGCCTCTCTTCGTCTTTTATGCAGCTCCCTGAAATCGTTTTTGTTTGCGGTCATTCAGCCTTGATCTCAATGGCTGCTGCCCAGTTTGCAGGCGTAATTAGACAGAAGAACACAGAAACATTATTCGCCAGCGTTAATGAGCAGCTGCTAGAAATGCAGCAATGTGAAAAATGGGACGTTTTACATTTTAGGAGCTTCATAAAGCACGATTCTGACATTTGCCTAATGAATACTTTGTCAGGCTGTTAATAAAGACTGACTTCTACAAATTCAAGGTCACAGAGACGATTTACAGCAGCTGCCAAAATCGAATGTTCTGCAGTGCATCATAAGTAGATCTTTGCTGATTTCTTTGTCCTGCTGTCTCCTGGTAGGGTGACTCCGGCGGTCCCCTCGCCTGCACAGCTGCCACTGCTGCTGGCGGAACAAATACAACCTGGGAGGTGCACGGCATCGTCAGCTTTGGAGCTCAGGGCTGCATCAGAGACAAGAAACCATCAGTGTTTACCCGCGTTTCTGCCTTCAGTGACTGGATCGACAGCAACATCAAGAAGTATATTTATGAAAGCAGAAAAGCTTTGTAAAGCTGACATCTTTAGGTAGAGATTATTCCATGTTTCGATTTATTTTTTTCTCTTTAAAACCCCCTGAATGTAACAAATGCTGACCAGCAGCACCAACCTACAAGGTTGCATTGCGCCCCGTAAAATAATTTAGTAAATAACATATTGCTTGTACGTTTCTATATATTAAACACTGCTGAACATTTTAAGCAAATTATATTTAAGCAAATATTTGTAAAATAATTTGTAAAATAATGAATAAATATATCATGTATAAATAAAAATACATATCTATAAAGCTTGCAGTTACTGTTTCCTTTTACTTTATAGTTCTGTGTTCAAAATGAATATTTTAACTGTAATAAAAAGTGTAGTGTTAAAAAAAATCAAGGTTAATAACAATTAATGGTCATTTTATATAACTTAATTTGCTAGCCACTGTCTTGTTGTGTTTTGATGTCTCTCTGACCAGCTGTTTATCTGTTATATTCAGTCCACAACCATAGTTAAAAAAAAAAAAAAAGAAAAAGGACATCAAAGAACAAAAAAAAAAAAGGTTGGTTTAAATTTTAGATGCTGCAAATAATAGAATACAAAAATCACCATTGGTCTGATAAAACTACATGAGACTCTGAAGCCGTTTCCTGTTTTTGCGTGCACTTTAATACAGCGTTGAGTAAAACATTACTTCATTGCTCTTCCAGTCACTGATTAGCTCTGTTCTCTGGTAGATAAATGTTGCAGCACATATTTAAAGTTTTGGGGGTTTAACCCCCTTGATCACATGACCAGGCCTCTGAGCCAATGAAAAAACTCGGCTCAGATTTCAGCCTAGGAGAAGGAGAGGAGGGGGGGAATGAAGAGGGAGGAAGAGAGAAAGAGACAAGCTCTAATCTGTGCTCATGGTCTGCCGGTAGTGACAGGACTTCCTCAGACTTTTTTTCCCCCTTGGTTGGATTATATGTGTTTTTTAGAGTATCTGAATGGCTCAGTGTGAGGCGCAAAAGATTCCCAGCCCTGGGAAAAGTCTAGTGTGTCCTGGAAAAGAGTGAGGAGCGGAGGAGGGGAGCCAGCTGTACTTTTTCTCCTCATCTTTCCCCGGAGTGCCGGCGTTTTTTTCTGTGGGAGAATGGGGGCAGGAGCTATGACCATCTGTGTGAGTAGAAACTACAAAGCTTGAGTTGACTTCCTAGTCGACCTGTAATTAAGAGCTGAAGAACATATAACGGGACTGTTCTGCTCAGTGTCTGTCTACAAACTCATTTGTGATGGGGTGTGTTGTCTCTTTAAAATGTCCTGGAGGGACAAATATTCCTTTCCTAAAGTAAATCTTAACTTTCCCTTCCTCAGCTAACTTATTACCAAAAAGCCATGACTCATAGGGCTGTAATGACCAATCTACTTGCTTGAAAGTACTTCCTCTTACTGTAGGGCAACAGTAAATTTATTCTAGCATCTTTAAAAAACAACAACTGTAAAATTTTTTTTTTAAAAACCAGAAACACTGTATGTTTTATGTTTTCAGTCAACACCAGTAATTTTTTCCAAGCATGTGATCACTTCCAGAAATGAGAATAAGAGTTGTCACCAGCACTGCACCGGGATATTCTATTTTATTTAATGTTTTTCTTCTTGCAGTAGTAACTGTGAGCTCTGCAGCTGTTGCTTCAGGGTTCCTGTGGTGCTTTTGCTGCCAGTTGCTTCAATGGCCACCCAGACAGGGAAGGAGGGAGGGACAAGGGAGGTGGGGAGTGGAGGAAAAGAAGGGCACATGCTTGGGCTTGCTATCCCCTTCATGAGCAAGTAGAAGACAAGACAGGGTTGGAAAAGTCATTTCGCATTGTGGGCCACATCTTAAATTAGCAGGATGAGTGTAAAGTCATTGTAAAGTAGTTTAACTGCACATTTAATCCCCTCAGTATAAGAAAATTAATTGCAGTTCCAACAGTACATCACATTTTTTTCCACATTTAAATTATTTATGTATTACTTCATTACATTGGTGTAGTATGAATGACTGTGAGGGAGTCTTTGTCAGCAGGACAGGCTATAAAATTTATGAAACTTAAGTTAAAAGTGCAAAATTTTTGACCTCCTTCACATTTTCTGAAGCCTTCCAGTGGGCCGGAGTGGAGTCTGCTAGGCCGATTCTGGACCCAGACCTTAAGTTTGACACCCCTATGCTAGATGGGTTGTACCGACCGTTAGCAGTCTATTTACAGGACAATACTTCTAAAAGATTTCATTTACCCAAAGTGTCGAAACCATAGGATTCCCACAGAAAATGTTTGAGACACTTCTGAAGCAAGGGGAAACAATTCCTTCCCCCAGGTCCTTGTCTATAAGTTTCCTTAATAAGTTTCCTTTTCACTGTCAGATGTTGAAGTGTGAAAATATCTTAAAAACAAAGGAGGGGACGAGCATCTTTGGCTGAATCCCAGCAACAATGGAGGCGATTGTGTTTGCATTCAAATTGCTGAGGGGAAACTTAACAAACAACCCCAAAACCTGCTATAAAACTTTTCATCTCAGTGTTTGCCTACTGTGTGAATTCAGAAGTAAGACTGCGATTCATTTCTATCTGCCATGATGATGATAGTAAAGGAAGATTTAGTGGGACATCTGCTCCATTGGGCCCCTTACAGTCAGTCTCACAGTCAGACTTAGCTCAGACCAGCTTAACTCCTTAACACCTGCAGTAGTAGTAGCACAGGAGCCCAGACTGTAACTCTGAGAGGTCCAACTATGGCCACATAAACTCAATTATATACATAAACAATCATTTGTGCAAGCGGAAAGTTAATGAAGATAGTTTGTGTTTAGCGTGTCTGGCAACTATTAAGACGTGTACAGCCTTTATAAATGCTGATTTAAGTGATAATGTATGTTGTATTAGCACAGTCGGAGCATCTGCCACGCTAAAGATTTTGTCTCCTTACCCATCTTAGCACCATCTGTGAGGTGGGTTTTAATCAGCAGATGACTCTAGCTTCTGTGTCTTAGCAAGTGGTGAGTAAAGGGGGAAAAAATCATATTACAACCACCGTGCCACTATGGACCTTATTGTAGCCACATTTTAACCCAGGTCTCTTCTGATCGTTGACATGCTGAAAAATAAAGCCGTTGCCAGTCAGATGATTTCCACGTGTTATTGCATGGTGGATGAAAATCTGATGGTACTTTCTTTGTTCAGAATTCCATCAGTTTTGACAAGATCCCTGAAATGCAGCCCCAAACAATAACAGTGCATGTTCACGACAGTCTATCACATCTGTTGCCCCTCATTTTTCAGTCCAGATTTTGTGTAATTTGGCATACATCATCATCGTTTTTGCCCTGCTCCCCTTCCTTAAGAATGGCTTCCTGACAGTCGTCTTTCCACTGAGACTATTTCTGATGAGGCTTCAGTGAACGGTAGATGGCTCAACTGAACGACCAGACACATCGCTCAGGTCCTTTGTCAGGTTGTTGCTGGGATTTTCCTGTTTCATCATCAGATGAGTAGTTTAACAAAAAATAAATAAATAAATTCCTCTGAAAATGCTCAGGTACAAGGACTGAAAATGAGTGAAAAAGCAGCCGATGTGCAAAGATTAAGATTATGTTAAAAATGTAAAAGAACGTTTGGCTCCTTGGAAGCAAAATATTAAAGAAATATGGAGTGACTCAAGACTTTTGCTCAGGACTGTAAATATGCTAAATGAATGAGTAATTTGCTGGAAAGTTATGGTTTGCTCTCAGAGACAGACAACAAGCAAGTGTATCTTAAAGTCTCTGTATGCAGATACAGAGACCATGGGGATGCTGTTTGCCTCGGTATCTTACCAGGTAAACATCATATTCAGGTTTTGAATTGGCTCAGCTTGGCTAAGAGCACATAAAGTGTAAAACCTAACTAAGTGTATCAAAACACCTGCTGTACTTAACTTCAATTCTTAGTTACCTCAGTACTGTTAGTATTTTTTGGTACACCTAAAAGAAAAATGCTGCTCTATTTAATTTGATAATCATATATAAAATGAGACATATGGGTCTATATCTATATGTATTGAATAGCCTATGTGAAGTAAACAATTATATATAAGTAGCAAATCAGAAAATGTAATAATATGTTTTACCATATTATATTTTGTATTTATTTCTCAATGAGATTAGCAATGGAAAATGTAATTTTACTTGTAGTACAATGAGCCTCTCCTCTTAAGGTATTATATCAGTCTGATCTGATATCCTTACTATCGTTCAGATTCCTGGCAGCTGAGCATATACCACATGTGCTTCTCTAAATATGTGCTCATATGCCTATTTGTGCATGTGTGTGTATATGTGTCACTCTGGCAGTGTCTTTAACCAAAGATGTGTTGCGAGGTAACCTGATATTTGTCGTAGCAACTCATGCACAGCCAGCTCTCCTCTTTATCTTCCTGCTGCCCTCAGCACACGGTGTCCTGTAAGAGCATGGCAGAGTGACTGAAAGAGATCTGCGTGTAGTCAGCCACTTCATGAGCAGCAGCACACACATTCTACTCTTTGGGATGAAGTGCGCTTTCCTGTGTAACAGGTGTCTACAAAGATGTCTGTCTCTGCTTCCATAGTGTCAGTGTCTGACTGCTGCTGTCTGCTCTCCCTGCAGCACAACAAGGCGGCGGTGCAGGTTAAAGAAGACATGAAGAAGATGGTCCAGATGCCCATCCCGCGACCCAGGATAGTCGCACCCAAGCACACCAAGGTGTTTGGAGCGTCTCTGTTTGAGTTGCGAAACCAGGGGCTGCTGGAGGATGGAGTGCCTCTGGTGGTGCGGAGGATGGTGGAGCATCTCCGCAAGCATGGTGAGGCAAAAATGCATGAGAGCACTGGAGGAGAAGTGCAACCTTTGGCTATCTTTTATTTCTTTGAATTTTTGCTGAATACAGTTGGTCTTGCATGCTGAAAAGATGGTGCACATACATTTTTGAATATCCAATCCTACTGGTGTCACTACATAAATACAGCTTTATAGTGCCACCTAGGTTTTCTTGTATTACATAATTTGTTCTAAATAAATCATACAGTTATACAATAATCAGAAACCTCATTATGTCAATCCTCTGAGTCTCGTTAATATGAGCCGGATAAGAATTAGACCAGAGCAACTTTACTAGACTACTGAAATAGAGTTAAATGTTTTTTTTTGTCATTGCATGCATTATTAATATTTCTCACAGACTTGCCATCTCACTCTTCAATTAGTTACTCTTGATAATCAGCCACAATCATTTTAATACTTCATCATTTAATTTGCTGCAGACAAAAACAATGCAAAGTTGAATCACTTTCACAAGCACAAGTTTCCATCATCATCATCTAAAAACCAGATATACAGAAAACAAAAGAGACTAAACATGTAATAGTTTTCAAGGAGACGAACAATTTAAAAAGCAAATTTGTTGCTAAATAAATAAATATAATCACACAAATCCACAGCTCTTGCTTTGACAAACGATCAGCCAACAGATTTCTCCAGAAAAAATGTATATAGATATTAATATATAAAATGATCAACCATAACGCATAGTTAAAAAAAAACAAAAAACAGAACTTGTAAATTTTCTATATTAACCTACATTATTTTCTGTAGTTCTTCTGTTTGAACACTAGATGTCCCTACAAGAAAACGATATCCTACTCAGGTCAACTGAAAACATAGGCCTCTTTTAAAGCAATTATTGGAGTGTGTTTAATTTGACTTAAACTCGCTGTGCAATCATTTCACTGGCCTATGTATTTAAAGGCTGTCTCATAACCAGGTAAGGTAAGCGTGGAGGGAAATAATATAATTCCTTATGGGCCAACAAACATAGATAGCCTACATGTTAGAGCTGTGGATGTGGCCTTTGAGATTTCTTCCTCCATTAAGTCACCCCGAAGGACAAATTTCATTTTTGCAAGTAGTGCTTAAAGCAATTAATTTTTTTAATTGGTTCTTGTTTTGTTTTGTTTATTTATTTTTAAGAAATAAATGTATAATCCAGTGAATAACGCTGTCACTTATTTCTGAATAGTATTATTTGGCCAGAAAATAGTTCCAAATAACTACTCCTATTATTATGGGTATTAGTGTGCCATTTTATTAGCTGTTAAAAACAAAACTTCAAGGGTCTACAACATGAGTTGAAATCTTTTAGTAAGAATTTTTTTTTAAATATTTTATCATAGTATTATTATTATTTTGTTATAAAATACTAAGTGTGACAAAGTAAGGTTAGCAACAGGTGTTGATAAGGCAAAAGACAGTTGTTAAGGTTTTAGCAAGCACTTAGCAACGCTAACTAGCAACATAATCAAAACAGATACCAAAAACAAAACACTGACAGCTATTAACACAAATCTAAGCTGCTAATTTCATGTTCACAGACTAGGGCTGTTCATATGATATGATGACGATATAAAAACTTTTATCGTTTCATTTTATGCTATCCTTTGTTTCGTGGTGTCGCAAAATAAACTGTTTACGGCAATATTTTTTCATGGTTTTGATGGTCACTGTAGTGGCTATATTAATTTCTTAAAGTTCTCTCTTTCTCTTATATTTAATATAACCACACTAGGGATGGACAAGCGCCTGTTTTTATGCGTTGTTGTTAGCAACAACGATGGTAAAACCATCGCGTGTCCGCTTGTTTATGTTCCACATAAACCTTTCACAATAAAGCTCAAGATCCTGTTGAGATTTTTCAAAATAAACTGAATCACGTGAAAGAGCAGATTACTTACGGATGAGAAGTAAAAAAGCCGCCAGGTGCTAAAAAATAAACCTTAGACTCAAACGTTAGAACAGGCTTTTCCCCGCAGCACACTGTGTAATAAATACTCACAAAGAAAACATTACTATGGCCTTAGTGCGTTTAGACTAATTAAAAATAGTGATAATGCTAACAGCAAATACAAAAGTGTAGTTATTTAATACTAAAGTGGCATGCAAAAAAACCCCCAGCTAATTGTGAGTTTGGCAATAAAGTAAAAGGAAAATATTCCTGACTAGTATCTGTTAAGTTACACTAAATTAAAATTTTCATATATAAGAATGTCACTTGCTATTTTTTTCTCAGTGTGTTGTTGATCTGCTCAATATAAAGAATTAAAAAATAAAAAGATGGTTAACAGATAAACCTTTAGATTTTATATTTTTCACAATTTCACTTCTTGGTCACAAAAGTGCCTTTACATGAAGGAAATTCAGACTTGATAGCAGTGCCAGGATGTAACAGTGGGTCAGAAAAGAGCCTTGCAAGTCATGGTTACAGTGCAAATCTGCAAATTGCTCTATATTCTCTGAGAATGTAAAGTCTGCTACCAAGGAAAAATTAAATTAAACTTACATTTACTATTTAAGAAAAATAAAATATTTTTAATAATGATTTAGTTTAGTTTTATTTGGATAGCACCAAATCACAACATCAGTCACCTCAAGCCCCCTTATATTTTAAGGTAAAAATCCTATAATATTACGAGAGAAAACCCCAACAATCAGACTGCCCCTTTTAAGCAAGCACTTGGCAACAGTGGGAAGGAAAAACTCCCTTTTAACAGGAAAAAACCTCTGGCAGAATCAGGCTCAGGAAGCACAGTGCTCAATTAGGGTGATATGGTACTTTGAGGTCATAAGATAAGATGGGGACTGATCATTCAAGACCTTGTAAGTGAGGATTTCTTTATTTGTAATATTTTTTGTCTCTTAACTCCTCCAGCACTGCATCAGGAAGGTCTGTTCAGGGTAAATGGAAACGTCCGTGCTGTGGAGACCCTGAAGCAGCATTTGGAGGGTGGTGGTGATGTGAACCTGCTCTCTGAATCTGATTCCTGTACTGTTGCCAGCTTGCTCAAACAGTACCTGAGAGATCTCCCCGGGGGTCTGGTAGTCATGACAGTCCAGCAGGCACTAATACAGCACTACCAAGGTAAATCACCAACATGTAGTCCTACCTTTTGTGCTATTTTTTTATAGGCAGTGTATAAAAATTATCCTGCAACATGTGTGGGTCAGTGTTTTTGTTTTTTTTGACTGGCAAAATGTGATCATGTCGATATTATTGGATACACCTCTCCAGTGTAATGTAGATCTGGGTCATGACTGACTGGATGATCAGCAAGACTATCTTTAGCTGGTGAATTTTACGATTAGCCGCGCAGTCGTCTACAGCAGGCGGAGCATTTATATACTGCGTTTGCTTGTGAGAGAGGGTGGTAATATGAAGGGTGATGGGCCAGATTTTTCTGGTAATAAACCTTTGAGGTCATAAAAGGTAAAGTGAGTCATTTAGCAAGAAAAGCATCTGCGATCGCTCCCAGCTTCAGTGCTAGGTTTAATCCGTTTGATGGGAGTGGTGTATACTTTATCTGCTGCATTCCCTTTGCTTTCATAGACCCCATGAATGTCGGCCTGAGTAGTGACGCTGCTCCTGACGATAACTGGAGAATAAGATTATTTTGCTGGTTTTTGTTAAACTGTTTTGTTTCTACCAGGCGTGTTTCATTATTTTATCCAGAGAAAATCCCAAGCAGTTGGTTATTAAATCTTTCTGAATGCCAGGATTTTCTGCATTACACATTTTAACATGACAAAACTTTTAGAAGTATTAAAAAAAGTTGCTATTGCTATCAGATTTAAATCAAAGAACTTAAGACTGGTATTAATCTTTTTTATTTCAAATTAAAAGAAAAATAAATGATTTTGATTATCAGTGTTTAATGGCAGTAGTCAACACTTTTGTTGTCTCTTCTTTGTGTATAGTTAAGTTAAATAACTTTGTACCATTGAGCTATATTTCATCACATAATTGTCTATAATGCTTTTGCTATGTCTCTACTATATTTTCCCAGAGCTGCTAAAAATATTATATTATAATGTTTTTGCAACAACTGAAAGTTTTTCTAATTCTGCTGAAGGAGAAATTCAGACCTCACAGAAAAGTATATGATAACCTAGTGTATATGGTTACATTTTGTATGTACATATGCATGCAACACGAGATGTATACTCTAATCAGCTCTTTCTGTAGAAACACCAGACCCTATTTTGGTTAAGTCAAGATCTTAAACACTACATAAATAACAACAACTAATACATTTTTATTCTCATTTAAATTAGTATCTTTAATTTCTAGTATACCTTCATGCATGGTGTTACTTTCTCTTGTATTGTGCCCCTGTGTCCTGTTTCCTCTGTTTATGTGCAGTGTACACATCTGTTAAAGCACAACCTTTTTTTTGCCCTAAAATACATCCATAATAAACATACAGGTGGACACACACACACAGAATCTGAACTTTACTCAGCTGTCACAAGAGCAGCCGTGAAAGCTCTGGGCGATTACTGCCCGTCTCCAAACTGAGACAGATGTACCCACATACCCACATTCGTACGCATGCATGCACATTCACATAGACCTACAGTGCACACTCACAACGTTTGCGTCACTAAGTCATTTGGGATCAGCAGTCGTATCCGTTTATCCACCTCTGACCCAATTATGTACCCCCAGTAATAGCATCAACATATTTTGAGGCAGTAATGCTCAGGTATTAGAAGTCACCATAACCCAAGATTAGATATTATAGAGGGATGATGGATTGAGCTGTTACTCCCTTCTGGAGATAGGCTGTAATAGTATTCATTATACTTGGAATTTTACTTGAATTTTTGTTAATTAATTCTGTGTAAACAGACCAAAGCAGAATGTCCTTGTTAATGAAAAACTTGAAGCACAAGTGCATTACTAATCTTTCCACTAAAGGTTGTTTGCCAGGGATTTCATAAACTACACATATTGAATTTTTAAAAAAATCCTATAACCTTTTGTATCTGTAGAGCGTGGTGGTGATGATGACACCTGGGCAGACGTGAGACACCTTCTCCTGCAGCTTCCAGATGTCCACTACAGTCTCCTGCACTACCTCTGCCACTTCCTCACCCTTGTGGAGAGCAGCCACAAGGACAACCGCATGACTGCCCTCAACCTCGCTACTGTGTTTGGACCCAGCGTGTTCCAGTGAGTGAAACATTTCTTTAGATTAGATGTGGTTAAACAGTCCAAATACACACCTGTGCACCATATCACTCCATAAAAGAGGGCATTTCTTCTTGCTGAAAGCTATAGTCACAGCCTTCTGGCCATCCATCAGTTTTCTTCCGCTTATTCAATCCACAAAGGCCTCGCTTGCCTTGTGGATTTGAACTCACAACCTCCTCCTGTTAGCCAGCACAGTGCTAACCACTACACCCACTGTACCTGGTGCCTCATTTATAAAAATGTGAGAATTTTACATTCAAATTTATACTTTGAATTTCCATTAAAAAAATGCTTTTTTTAAGCTGATTCTATGTTTTCTGTTGTGTATTTTTGTATAAATGCCTTTTCATACAGAGTTTTCATGTAATTTCACTGTTTACATGAAATAAATCAGTGTTGATTCCCCAGTTTTGTAGTCTGATTAATAAACAAGGGCTCTGCCTCTGTCACATTGCATTACACGTGAAAAATCCCTGATTCAAGACATAGACTCCTAGTGCCGCCCTCAATCCTGGATAAATGGAAAGGTTGCGTCAGAAAAGGCATCCGGTGAAAAATCCAGTGTTTGGCCAGAAGGTGATGCTGTAGTTTACTGAGTGAGTAGAGAAGCAGATTGTCAGGAGAGCATAAAAATTTCATGTTTTGAAGAATAAAGTGCTAAAAATAAAGGGTGAGGAAGTAGCAGAGGTAGCAGAAGAGTGAATGATTAGAAATTAAATATAAGTTACCACAAATTTTAAAGGCAGTCAGTAGTTTTTTTTGTTTTTTTTTTTGTTTTGTTTTTTTCAATTAACTGACTTAACAAAGGTCACTCAGAAAGCTAATCAGTTTGATTTACCTGTGCATTTAAAATACAAAGCACAAGTTCAGCTTGGTACCCTGTTTGCAGATGTGAAAATGTTCAGAAATAAATTATACAGTATGTGGCCGTGTCTCAGGCTTCTGAGCTCAAGTTTTTAATTTTCTGATAGGCTTACTCGGTGGCCAGTTTTAATGTTAGTAAGCTATACTAGTTAGTAATAAATAGTATTTGCTAGTAGTAGGCTGGACCCCCTTTGTGCTATATGAGCTGCATATCCATGTTGTGAATCTCCCAGTCTTCACATCCCGAAGGTGCTGTATAGATTGAGACCTGGTGACTGTGCAGGCCTTTTGAGTACAATGACTCATTGAACCCGCTGATTCAAGAAACCAGTCTTTGTGACATGGCATCCTGTCCTGCTGAAAAAAGCAAACAGAAGACCGATACACTCGGGTCATAATGGGATGGTTGATAATAACTCACTCAATGTGTGCAAAGACCATATCATACCAAGACCAAGACAAGACCATACCATGTAACTGTAGTGTTGTCTAGACTGATAACCAGCGATAAATTGGTTAATTAAGGCCGGGATTCCCGTGGAAACTGATATAAGAGACACTGTAATGGATACTCTTTCATACTGTACAGTCTGTTCTCTTCAGACTGTGTAAAGGTTATATAATTAGACCTACAGATAGGCCCACAGCCCGGTGTACATCTCACGCAGCTGTTCGGCAGTATCATACAAACTTGTTATAGAAGCTGGATTCAGTCTGACAACTTGGGGACTTACTTTCTATTTCAGTATCAAGATTACAGCTTAGTTGCATTTGTTCCATACAGATTGTTGCTTTTACTGCTGCTGCTATAGTCAGTTTCAAAGGGATAGTCCACCCATGAATTCAAGTTATGTTGTTTTGGTGTTAGCTTTAGATCTACAGATGTCTGATTTCTTCTTAAATTTAATGAAAGTGACAGTTTTTTTCTACCAAACTACACATAATTCCTTATTACTTTACAGAAATCCATGAACAGGGCATAATATAAACATTAATGCTTCCCATTAATCCTGAGTCGGACCACCTTTTTGCTATATGAGCAAAGGTGCTCAATAGAATGAGATCTGGTGACTGTGGAGGCTTTTTGAGTACAGTGAACTCACTGAAACCGCTGCTTCAAGAAACCAGTTTGAGATGAGGTGAACTTTGTGACATGGCATTCTGTCCTGCTGGAAACAGCAATCAGAAGACAGGTACACTTGGGTCATAACGGGATGTTATGTGTGCAAAGACCATATCGTAACACCAACACCAGGATGTATCCACGTTCTTATTTTGTTTATGCTTAATTCTGACCCTGGCATCAGAGTGTTGCAGCAGAAATCAAATTTCATCAGACCAGGAAATGTTTAAAGAGTCTTCTGCTTGAATTTTGATTAACCTCAACTGTAGCCTACATTTCCCATTCTTAGCTAATACGCAGGGTTCAGGGGATGCTCTTCAGCATACCTTGGTTGTAATGAGTGTTTATTTGAGTTAGCTTGAGGCATTCGACACAACATTTTCACCCGTTGTGCTTGAAAATCCCTGCAGTTTCTGAAATACTCAGACAAGTCCATCTGACACCAACAATCAGTCACTTAAATCAGCTTTCTTGCCCTTGTGATTTGAACTTTAGTACTTCATCTTGACTATTTAGTTGCTGCCATGCAATTGGCTAATTACATATTTGTGTTAATAAGGAGTTGAACAGGTGTACCTAACATACTGGCCATTGAATGTAGTTCCTATTAAAGTGCTCACATTAGTGTTTATGGATATTTATTTGGTGCTCATTTGAATGACCTTTGCCTTCAAAGAATTTCAATTAAATGTCATCTTTTTGCTTTTACTTTATTTTATTTTATTTTAGCGTGGCTCCTGGATTTGAAGCACTTAAGGACCAGAACATCTGTAACAAGATCATGGCCAAACTTATCCAGAACTACAACAATATCTTTGAGACCAACACAGACAGAGAAGACTACGCAAAAGAAGAGGCATCGCCTATCATTGCCGAGGTGCGGTATACTCACAGAAGCACCGGAAAGTAGTGTTTATGTGAAACAGATCACTGTTTACATGAAATAAATGAGTGTTGATGGTCGGGGCAATGCTTTGCAGTTTGGTAAGACAACTTTAATGATTCACATGTCGTGCCCATGCACTTTAAACAGTGTGACTTCATCTATGACATCATCTTCTGCCCAGTCACCTGGATGATTGATGGCTTACACAAGCAGCCTTGTGTAATGTCAAGGTAAAAATGATTGAATTATTGATCTTATATCAACAGGTGGCTGTTTTCAGTCCTTGGTTGTTTTTGTCTGTTGTCTGCTTTGATGACTGATGTCTATTGATCAGCTGGTTTGGTTTGCCAGTTTATATTCAGGTTTATTTTCATCATCATTTCATTTCTTTTATGAGATACACATAATTACCACATAAGTTTTATGTTCCTGTAATGGTTAATCCGCCAGCATATGCAAGCTGTTTAGTCGAAATTATATTTTTAAATCTAAAATGTAATTACCGTACTGTTACCGTACTGTTGGCTGGCCCTAACTTTGAGTATAAAAACATGAATTCAGTTTGGTATTTGCCTAATAAACAACAATGTAATTTTTAGCTTTTTTTAATTGATTGATTGAATCTTTCTTTTGAACATGTTGAAAAAGTACAACAACATAGAATTCAAAAGAGACAAACAAACAAAGCAAAACGAAAGGAAAATGAGCAAACACAACCACAAATAACTTTCATGTTCTAAAAGGAGCAGGAAGAAGCATCAGCTTATTTAACCCCACCCCCTTTCCACTATCAAGTAATCAATAGACTACAGAAATACCTCCTTACAATTACATTATATTTTACATGTATTTTTTTTTATTAATTATATGTATATCTATCTTTCTATCTATCCATACATACATACACATACACACATATACACCTTTTCAATAACCCCAGTAACACCTCAAAGGAAACCCATACCAACATACCCGTGCACCCTCACACACATGAAAATATTGGACAAGAGCACCCTATCAAATCTCTACCTCCTCCTTCCTTTAAACACGTTGTTGACATATTTATAAATTATTAATGTATAATAATTTAGATATTCCAGGTGTCCAAAATTAAGTGTCATTGTGTTTAAATTTTGTGAGCTAAAGGGAAAAAAAGCTGTATTTTTAGCTACGTGTCAAAGCATTGCCCAGCATTTATGTTGTGTAACAGTATTATCTTAATCATATGTCTGTCACCATAAAAGTCACTATAAACTGTAACTCAGTATAGAATGAATCAATTTTCACCCAAAGAGACTGCATATGAATGCAGTAAACAAACAAATTAATAAAAACATTAACATGTTTTATTAATTATTTAATTGTTTAAAGATCCAATTAATATTTGAGTGGCGTAGAGAAGCCTACCGAATATTTACTGAGAACAGCTTCATTTACCACTATCTCATGATTAGCAGAATTTAGAGACCAGCCTTTTTTTTTTATCTCAGTGTGCAGACATCAACAGTGTCTCGATTGTTGATTAATGCCTGTGTCGGGCGTGTGAAACGTGACACTGGCCATCTGATGAGCAGCTACTGATGGTGGGATCTCTCTCTTGTTTTGACCTTTAGCCTCTTCTTTCATAGCACTCTCCTGTCATTTTTAACACCATTAAGTCTTGAGTCTGTGACCTATGTGACGTCATGAAAAAGCAAACATTACAAATGACCTGATCAAATTCAACTTAATAAATTCCAAAGGTCCAGATTACTTGTAACACTAAAATTAAATCTGCAAAGACTTTAAAGACGTGTCCTTTTTTGTGATATCATCATCCGATCACAAGCATCTGTGCTGTGTTGTGAATTCCTGTAAGGCCATTGACACTTGAGACACTGATGAGCAGTAGGAAATCCCTCACCCAGAAAAGATTGTCTAACGTACAAACATGCACATATACACAAAAACACACACACACACACACACACACACACACACACACACACACACACACA